CGCAGCAGCCTGTCCTTCGAACTGTGATGCGTGACATCAATAATCTTCTCCACATGTACTGATAAAACGGTAGTGTTTGCGTTGCTTGTAAGAGTGTGGATCAGATTTGGAGGATGCTTGATAACCTCGTCGTCAGCTAATCCATTATTGAGTGTCCTTGACGGTGTTGTCGGCCTTTCATCACTTGATAACTCAAGAAAATAAGGACTTTCCACCAACTCTCGTTGTGAACTAGATATTTTCCTGAACATCCGCGAGAGGGCAAGTCGGCGGGATTTAAATTGCCAAGGCAATGTCTCCAACTATTCTCTGTCCGTTAGTTCACGTATTTCTTGGACTCGATTCTGAATATATTTCTTCCAATTCTTGTCGTTTTGGATCCAACATAGCGTAGTAAGTGAATCCGTCCATAAGAACAGCGTCGATTCTCAATGTTTTCAGAGCTTGTAATATTGAGTTGACCAATCGCGATAAGAATAATGCCCCCAAGAGCTCCAAGCGCGGAATGGATTGTTTATGTAGCGGTGCTACTCTAGTTTTCGCCGCAATAATCTCGAATTCGACATTACCATTAGCATTTACGTACCTAAGATATACGACAGCAGCATAAGTTCTTTTGGAAGCGTCAGAAAAACCGTGTATTTCGTGACGTTGAATTTCTTCAGAGGACTTGAAATAACAACGTGGAACACTTAGATCGATTAACGGAGTTAATTTAATATCTCGGTCCATTTTGACAAAATCTCGCCGTCCAGGGGGTCATCCCAATCTATGCTCTTGTTGCACAGGATCTGAAATAGGATTTTCATGTTGATTGTGAAAGGTGACAGCAGGCCGAGCGGATCAAACACTTTCGCAGCTAGTTTTTAAACGGAACGCTTCGTTTTTGGCAGGGACTTCACTGTTTTGTTTTCTTCTGAGGTAGAGTATTCGGTTTTGCGTGGTTGTAGAATACTGTTCTCTTCCCTTGACTCGTTACTCCCGGCGTTGCATGATGGTAAGAGATTCCCTGATTCGATCCAATCTCTAAGATCCTTACTCATTAATTCTTTCGACGACTCGTATACTTTAAATGCTTCTGAATCAGTAGACGCACCACCAGCAAAATCGTCAACACATAAGGAGTTCCTTAGTAGATTAACGACGTCAGGATCGGACACGGAATGTAGTGACAAATGATCATCCACTGTACCAGACAAAATGGCTGGACTGGGTTTCAATCCGAATGGCAGACGACGAAATTGATAATGCTTTATTTCAGGGAATTCTTTGTTGATGTCATCAAACCATAGGAACTTAACCATTTTACGATCGTGTGTGGCAATGTTGATCTGGTGGAAGGCTTTCTCGATATGGGACGTTAGTCCAATAGGATGTTCTCGAAAGCGTACGATAATGTCAAATAATAGGGGCACAGAGTTGGGTCCTTTCTCTAAGCAATCATTTAACGAACTATAATCTTCAGAAGGTTTAGCCGAACCGTCAAAGACAATTCGAAACTTCGTTGTCTCTTTAACTTCACTTGCCTGACGACACCATGATGAGGAAGAAAATACCCAGACGTTTGCTCCTCACCTGTTTGCTCGACAATACTAACACGTTCTTGCTCGCGGATGATTTTATCATAATCTTGAAATAATATTTTGTCCTTGGTTAATCTAGACTGGAGTTGACGCAATCGCTTTAGACACATATGATACCCAGTAGATTTTGGTACATTTTCTTCTTTCCACGGCAAGTTAACTTCGTAACGACCTTTCTGTTCCTTGAACTGAACATTACGCACGAAAATTAACTCATCAGGTTCAATCTCTTCTTTGATTCTAATTGCATCTGTTTCCCAAAAATTTCGTATCACTTCTGTAAGGTCATCGGCGGAATCGTTGTTTGCCATGAATGGGGAACCGAATGCGGAATCGTATTGTCAATTACCAAATTTGCAACAAACCGATTCGAAGAACACGCATTATGAGCAGTTGGACCGGATACTAGACATCCAAACAGGCCACGTACAATTTCTCCTGAGATAAGATCAAAGTAGTAATCGGAACCAACCAGTATATCAATATCATTGCTGGTGATTTCTGCATGTTCCAAGCTAGAATCAGCCAAATCGAGGTCTTGTAGATGAGGATGAAGGTCAATGTCAATGGCAGTTGACAAGGGCAAAAATATTTTAGGATAGCAGAGGGCAGAAATAGAATGGGTACCATTTCTTCCTTGTAACGACACTTGAACTAGATCGCATTGTTGTTTTGCATACTGTTGAGAACCAAATGTATTCAGATTGAGAGTTTCCCTTTTTATTGGGTTTAGACCGAGCTTGGACTTGAGTGAATTGGTGATATACGAGCGTTGGCTTCCGCTATCGAAAAGAATTCAGGCTTTCACTGACTTCCGACCATTCGACGAGTGCACATATGTTACAGCAGTCTGCAAAAGTACTTGACGACGTCCCTTGGCTGTACTTGGATTAACAGCAGAGGTAGCTTGCGTATCTTCTGCGGTAATGTTACCATTATCCGACGGCTCTGTTCTTTCGGATAGCGGGTGATGTCGTGATGGATCTCTCTGGTTGGAAGGCTTTTGCTGCTGATTTTCTGGATTTCTCGAGTTTAACGGGGTTAATGTGGGACAAATTGATTGATGGTGTTTCCCGTTGCAACGTTGACAGGTACGACCGTAACTGCATTGATCGCTTCGGTGATTCTTTCCCAAACATATAAAGCATCGATTATCACGTTTAAGGATTCGTTTGCGTGTGTTTATATCTAATATCTTATTGCAGGATGCTGAAAAATTTGGTTCATTGCAATATGCACACCTACAGGGTTTCGGATGGGAACGAGTGTCTTGAGCAAATAATGAGGCCGCAGTACCTTGTGGTAATTTGTTATTAGCTGGCTTTCGACTGTCCGCCTGAAGTTTAACGTTTTCCCCTACTTCACGAGCTTCAACTTCTTTGAGTATAATTGATAATGTGTCTGAGATCTCCCAAATATCCTTTGTGGTCTCACGGGCCATTTGAATTCTTACTTCAATGGGCAGCTTTGACATGATAATGGGAATCAATAAGCTTCCATATTGCTTTGAATTAACACCTAATGAAGCCAGACCTCTCGTGTGAACACTAATCTTATCGTAAATGTATCTCAACTGGGACGGTTTATCACTAGTAGATGGTGGAATTTTCATTAACTCATCCAAATGAACAGAAATTATTTGCTGCTGTTTGCCAAAACGTTGGTGTAAGATTTCTATAGCTGATTGGTAATTGTCTCGTGTCAAAGTAGGACCCTCTACTGCTCGCAGTGAACGACTTTCTAATAACGAGTTCAGGTAGTTAAATTTGTCTATTTGCGTTAACTCTAGGTTCTTGGGCACTGCGCTTTTGAAACTGTCCCAAAATGTACGGTAACTTGTTATATCTCCCCTGAACTTTTGTAACACAAGCTTCGGTAATTTGGGACGGCTGTGATTTGTAGGATTACGGGGGTTGGTGGGCAAATTTGATTGTTTGGCAAGAGAGCTCACCTCTCTTGAGTTGGATAATGAATCAATATTGGTTGACGTACCTGTGTTCGTGGAAGATTGGAACTCAGCGACGCTGAGTCAGCGTCTTGTATTACTGGTGGAGATTCTACCGTGGACGTTGTTGTGTCTTCGTTTTTGACTCGTATTTCATTCGATTTTCGGCAATGAAGTGCTGCATATCTAATACTTGAGATTCAATTTCGTCGGCCTCGTCCACCTCTTTCGGTATATCATCATCTTCGCAAAGTTCTAGTATTTCCCCGTCGAGACTCTTCACTACCCTCAATATTTCTGTTAACATCGTTTCGATTGTTTTTAACCTGGATTTCAATTTCGCTATTCCCATTTCCTCGGTTGGAATATCCTCGCTAAGAATATGATCCGCTTCTTTCGTTAATTTCGTAATTACGCCTCGATGGCCCGCTCGTACAGCTCGCTTGCGAGCCAAAGTCCGTCATTTTGTGTGCTAAATAAGTCGGCTATAATCGTATCGGTAATGGTTTATTGTTCGCATGAAGTTTCCAATTGCCCCACGTTGGGCGCCATATAATTAATTTCGTTCGTTTTCCTGATATTCTTTCGGTTTACAGCGGTTTAAATCATAAAGGTTTCTTTTATTTTGTTTTTACGAAGATTTACAACAACAACTCGTGTGTAATCAATTAAGTACTTTTACTTCACGAGCGGTGCACGTGATATCAACTTAACGCAAAAGCTACACAGTACGTTACACTGAGCAACGATATACGATATAATCGGTTCTCTTCTGGGAATTGAAACCGTTTTAGTTTTTAGCGTGCGCGACATTGACAAATTTTCACTGAAAAACAACACTACAAATTGAACTTTGCGCCCAATTAAAATTTCAAGTTTGATGTGCTGAACTTTCGGTCGAACTTGTTAGGCGATTTGCCAATGAATAATGCAATAATAATTATTGATTGCAAAATTCCAATACACGAGGAGCGGAACATCTGGTTTGACTGTAAAGCACTGTGGAGCAAGTTTCCTGTACATATGTATGCACCATAATGCATTGCGCTTGAGCTCAGTTAGCCATCAAACTATAGAGCTCGCTCAGGTTCGCCTCCAAAAAACAATGGTAAGTAATAATAAACAGAATATAGGTTAAGATCTCGTAAATTTTTTCATAAACGTTTTGTTGTAACCCCGTAACTTTCAAATATTCCTGATTAACTACATGTAGTGAAGTTATAAATGCGCATAAAAAAGTCCACACCACCATGCCAACCCTAAAAATTTGCTTTTTCTGCCTGCTGCACGAATTAGGATATTTCTATACTTGCTCGCCTTTGGCCTGCTCATTCCGAAGCAATTTTCCGTTTTTGTGGATTAATTAAATCACGGTTGTCACGCCTATCTTTTAGTTTAATCCCAATAGACATATCCTGGTTTCTAGAACCCACAGTGAACCATAGTTACCTCCTTCTTTTTGAATGTTTCAGGGCAGGTTTTGAAAGTGAAATTGTAATTCTTCACCATCGTTTACGGACAAAAATGGTCATCACTAAAGATGGATATTGTACGTGGCAGGCTCCAGTAACATTAAACAGTTATTGCACTTTAGATCTCACAGACTTTCCTTTTGACGAACAGAAATGTCCCATTCAAATTGGTTCGTGGACGCATCCGGGAGAAAAAATCAACATGACATACTCCGACCGAAATGCAGATTTGAGCCATTATATCACAAGCGGGGAATGGATTCTACAAAGTGCTACCTTGAGTCAAGATTTCGGATACTATAAACCTGAAATTTCACCTCATCCTTATATTACCCTGTCTTTGAAGATTCAACGTCGTCCAGATTACTACAAAAATCAAATGATAATTCCTTTGATTTTGGTTACAAGTTTAGCTATTTATAGTTTTATTTTACCCTTGAATATTGAAGCCCAGATAAGTATTGTACTCACAATTGTAGTTTCTGTTTCTGTACACAATGTAATCATATCGTCTGAGTTACCAAAAACTGCAGATCCTATTCCTGCTCTTCTAAAATTTTCCGTTGATATGCTTATGTTAATCGTACTTAGTTCTTTTCACATATTTATAACCTCACTATGCGTGAAAAAGATCTCTAGTTTTTCGAATTGGTGGTTTAATGTAAAGTCTGAAGATAATTCGGAAAGTGCACACCCAACAGCAGCAACATGTGTTCGTATATCTTCCCTCATTATATTTTTGTTTACTTTCATGATTTTAATTTTTTTGTTTCGTAGAAAAGAAAAGATTTGAGTACTAATGAGTAAGGGTAAAAATATATGTAAACATATTAAATGATTCGTATATACACTGGCGGTCAAAAAGAACTGCTCAAAACAAGTTAAAATGCTCTAGATTACATGCTAAGCTGTATGAAATATTAATATTTTGTTGACCTTCCTTTGGCCTTATAATTGATGACGTCCTTACATCGGCTTGGCATACTTTTTGTTATGGTGGTAATCTTAGCGGTCAAAAGAAATTCATCCTATCGACAGTCTTTACAGCAACGCATAAATCATGGACCGTTTATGAATGAATTCCTTTCTTGCACTATCCCCTTGACATTGTCCCACAAATTTTCAATGGGGTTAAGGTCTTTTGACTGTGCAGGCCAATCCATTTCTGTCACTCCCTCTTCCAGCAAGCATTGTTGTTTGACTATATCTTGGAAGTGTGGCAGGTTGCATTACATTATTGAAATATTGTTTGGAATAGGAGAATTATACAAAATGCCTATGAAGCTTTCTCCTATATTCGCTTCTTTATTATGAAATTGTATCTAAACAGCTCATTTTGACCGCTAGTGTACAATAAAAGATAGATTGTTGCGATTCCTGTTACATACGATACTAGCAACATTTGAACAGTTCTTTTTGACCGCCAGTGTATATATCTGAATATTCAAAATTTAACCTTAAAAAAAGGTGCTTTAGGCGGCTGCAAAGTTCATATTTATGTCAATCAATTGTGTTTTATATTATACGCGTGATAGAGAATCTTATAAGCATTAAGTCATAGAAAGCATAATTCGATTAAAAAATGTAGTAGATGTAATCAATTGTAAAACAAGGTTCACAATTCACAAAGGTATGTTTGAAAATTTGTGCTAGTTATTGATGATATTTAAGTTGTGAACATTTTTAAGCATTGATTGACTGAGCAAAAGACCATCTCTGCTACAGCATCAACTCCACATATATGAATAATAGCTATATGAGAGCTGGAGCGAGCTTTTAAGACCAACCCACAGTTCACACTTACATAGCTGATTGCATAAGGATCATCCCACTCCACTCGGGGGTATGATGTGTTTAAGTGTGACTCAACCGTCACTATAATTTATTACAAGGGGATGGACAACACTCGAAACTCCGGTGGTCCGATGGAGTAAGAGTCGTAATTATGAAACGTGTAATTAACAAGACAGAAAAAAACAAAGAAAAAACGACAGTGACGACAAATACCCCCCAAAAAACAATAGCTGATCAAAAAACTGCTGAAGGAATGTTCACAAACTGTCCTACGAGTGCTGAAACGACTTGAAGACCGGGTCGAAGGAAACGCATGTTTTCTATTCATAAATATACTTCTACTTATGGCAATACTAGACCGATCTTCATTGTTTGGTCGTCTGCTCAAGACAATCGGGCACAACTTCTCCAGCTCCTTTAAACCATAAGTTTATGGTTTACCTCTCCTCAGTCCAAAGCAGACAAATACGACTATGCCCACCCGTTCCTTGTTAATGTGATGGATGAGCCAGATATTCCCCCAACGAGGTACCAGTGAAGGCCTCCGTGGTCATGCAAATACGAAATTTAAAACGCATGAAAATCTTAGCGTTCCCTTGATCTTTCCAGATGGCCAGAATGCTTGCATACATGGACATGAGACTGGACGCAGTGCTACTGCAACGAAATTTTCGACCCCTTTTTTATAAGCTCAATTTAAAGTGCTCACTCTCCTGATTTCATTTGTGAAAACCGAATCAAAATTGGCTTTCTCAAAAGATTTTTATAGCTCTCCAAAATCGCGATTTTTGCCACTTCCTGTGCGAACTTTTGCTCCGTTATACGTATTGTGGTTTGTGACGTAGAAAAGAATACCGATTCTTAGCATAGCGTAAAAATACTAGTGTTAAGTAGCTTCGTCGACGAAGAAGTTTTGTTTCTTACAGTCCCGACCAAGTCAGTATTCATCAAAATTATGAAATATTTATACAAATGTTCCTCACAAAAGAGATGGATCGCCAAAGTTGAAGAAAAATACAGGCTATGCATGGGAGCTAAAGGAAACCTCAAAGACCAACCCACCCCCTATATTTTAAGGCATGCAGTTTGCAACACCCGAAACTTAAGAGGAAAAACGGAGTAAAACTCATATGAAACATTCAACAAGACAAAACGTACAGTAACAATAAAGACTCAGGACAGTACAGGTAAAAACAGACAGTAATGATAAAAACGGACAGACACAGCAGTAACGATAAACTCTCGAAAAGAAATAGCTAATCAATAAGCAAGCATTTAAGAACATTAGTTTCAAAATTGTAAAAATCCTACTACCACGCGTATAAAAAAAATTTTTAGCAGCTTATTGGATGGTTTTGTTTTACTATTCTATTGTTCTCTATAATTTATGAATATACTCAAAACCTTTTTCGTCGCTTTTCCTATAACAAACTAACCCTTATTCTCGTGCATGATAAATCAAAGAGTAATAAAGCTAACTTGATAAATTTTCATGGTAGATTTTAAAGACAATTAGCTCGGACTTTAACCTAAAAGTGTTGTGGGGCCTGGCACACAATTTTCTACTTTGCTCGGTCAGCGGCTGTGCACGTTTGATTAACATCGCTCTATCGCATTTGGCAACCGGCGTAGCGAAAAAAAAGTAGTTTAATACGAGTGCAAAAAAAAACTAGTTGGAAAATGCTTCCATTCGCCGCAAATTATCAATGTTTTTTTTTCAAATTTTCCTGATATAAACATAATATAAAAAGCTTTTTACTTACGGTAAAATCATGCTTAAGACTTTAGGATATTACCCAAACTCTCAAATTCAAACTTTCACTCCATTGAAGGCATCACAACACCATGCTGTTTTCGCTAATATCTCCATATTTAACCACATTTAAAACGCAAAATAACACCCATAAAGTTCGTTGGCATCATTTTATAGTTTACGAAATAATTACAAACTACAAAGGAGTTTTTCAAAAAATATCGGCGATATATAAAATCACGTATATATATATATATATATATATATATATATATATATATATATATATATATTATTATATGACGCGCGTTTTGTGATGGACCATGAAAGTGTAAACTTCTTGTTCTCTTCTTAAATTCTTAACTTTGAAAGTTAAGTTTCCTCTTGAACTTGTCATTAAAGCAATCCAGCCTGGAATGGAACTTTTTTGACTATGCACTTGAGACACTCTTTAAATATGTGATATTTAGTTTACTATCTTTTAATATGCTGAACACCAGCTGCGGCTTTGGATGCCCTTCTGATGGCCTTTGGTGTTTTATTTGGCTCCATTGGTTTAATGACATCTTATATTGGATGCATTTAATACCTGATAATTTATTGTAATTATCAATATTTTGATCAAAATTATTGATTTTCAGAATAAATTTTTTGTATTCAGTTTATTGTTACATTAAAATTTTAAAATTAATATATTTAATGATTCAGTTATCAATATTATATTATATAATACATTATATATAAGCAATTTCTTAAACCTCCTTCATGAGATAAGCCGTAGTTAGTTGAAGTAGTCGTCATTCCGATGTATATTTATACTCAAAATTTAGTTGGTTTGTAATAAGTAGAGTTCTCAATACCAAGTAGAGTGCTCAATACCAAAAAAAAGCACATAAATAATATTTCACTAATTCTTTAATTTCAAAATAAAGCCATCGCTACACACTGTTTCACGCTAAGCTATAAAAGCAAAGCGATCATCAAGCGACTAAACAAAAATTCATTACAATATTAGATTACGTCATGCATTAACGGTTTCTCGTCTCTCACGCGCCTATGTTTCGCGCGCCTAAAATTTCCGTTATTAAACTTGTTCTATAGCAGCATTTTGAAAGCAGTTCAGAGCGCTTGTTTAAACATTTGTTTTCATCTGCACGTATTATGCACAGTTTTTTCGCAAGGCAAACACCACATTGCGGAGCTCAGGAAATCTTGGAATGCCTCGTTTCCGATATTGACTATGCATTTTATATTTTCACACGTGGGTCTTTTTATTTACACCATCTAAAGCAGTTTTGCCCATTGTGGAGATTACTAAAAAGAAAATATGTGAGTGCTTTTTCACTTTTTCCTCAGTGTAGCTTGGCCATATTAAATTAGGTAATGCTTTCGCTATAATGACCCCCCCCCGATTAGAAATTTACAAACTATGCTTACAAACTATAATTACAAACTTGGAGATATTCCCCATTTATGAATATTTTTTCGCGTGGGAAGAGAGTTGTTTAAACAGAGTATGGTAAAGTTGTAAATGTTGTAAAGGAAGTTTTGTTTGAGCTGATGACCAGACCTTGTTGAGATGTGGTAAGGCGAACTTGGTAATACTCGAGGAAAAGGATCCTTGATTAGTAAGGTGGTTTTGAAGTCTATCATCATGACCAGAGCGAAACTGTTTTAATACGTCTTTAGTGGAGTTGCATATGTCGTATTGGATTAATTATATAATGTATGGCTGCTAGTGGATTTCCACAATTATTATAGCTTCGTTAGGAGAGTGCTCTTGGGCATTTCGAATGACGGCTTGACACTGGGTAAATTTGACAGAAGAAGGATGTATAAAATAATGTTTTGACCAAATTCAATGCGGGTTATAGAAACAGTACTTAGCGTTCCTGATATTGGGATCTCAAGCCATTTACGAATGTACTGGTTACCTACAGAATGAATATGCTTGGAGATCCACGATCTTGACAGTGTCGAACGGTGAAATGCCAAGATAGTTTGGATAGAACGTAGCAGCTAAAGAGGCCGATGAGCTTATTTTTGGGGTGAAGTGAAGAATATTACAATGTTTTTATACAAGTATTAACCTTGTGTTGAAGAGAAAACTTTGAATGAAATAACAAACAACAAAAAGGGAATTATCCATCATAGAAAATATTTTCCTAAGTTTGGAGGCAAAAGCCCAAATGTAATGTAGTTATAATATGCGCATATAAACAAGTATTTGTATTTGGTAATAATTC